TGATCATCCATTGCCCACGATTGACGAGTTGTTCAGCACTCTTGCAGGTGGCGAAAAGTTCACAAAAATAGACCTATCCAAGGCTTACCTACAGTTAGAGATTCACCCAAACGATAGGCATATACTAACGCTGAGTACACATAAAGGATTGTTCCAGCCAACCAGGCTGATGTTCGGCATCGCTTCTGCTCCCGCAATTTGGCAGCGTTTTATGGAGCAACTGCTTAGTGGCATACCGGGCATCTCAGTTTTCTTAGATGACATCAAGATATCTGCTGAAGACGATGAAACACACAGGCAACGTATCGAGGAAGTATTGAAGCGTCTAGATGAGCACAACATGAGGGTAAACCTAGCAAAATCCGAGTTTATGAGCGATCGGATATCTTATTGCGGCTACGTCATCGACAAACATGGCATACACAAAATGTCGGATAAGGTAAAAGCTATTCAAAATATGAAGACACCAGTTAACAAAGACGAGGTAAGATCATTTGTGGGGCTTGTAAACTACTACGGTAGGTTTATAAAAGGGTTAAGCACGATTCTGTACCCACTTAATAGACTTCTGCAAAATAACGTCAAGTTTGAATTCGATTCCTCATGCGAACGGGCGTTCCAAGAAGTCAAAGCACAAATACAGTCCGACGTGGTCCTCACTCACTATGACCCGAAGCGCCCACTGCTTCTAGCTGTGGATGCCAGCCCCGTTGGAGTAGGCGCTGTGCTGAGCCATCAATTCGAAGATGGTACTGAACGACCTATCCAGTTCGCTTCCCAAACATTGAATAAGACGCAGCAAGGCTATAGTCAAATCGACAAAGAAGCCTACGCTATAATATTTGGTGTTAAACGATTTTATCAATTTGTTTATGGACGTAGATTTACACTAATAACAGATAATAAACCTATTTCGCAAATTTTCTCTCCTGCCAAAGGGTTACCAATGCTGTCCGCAACGAGAATGCAACACTATGCGCTGTTTTTATCTGCAAGAAGTCCAAAGACAATGGCAAGGCAGATGCTATGTCGAGGTTGCCGATCAGGGACACATATCAAAACATAGATGAGGTAGACCTAGTGGAAGAGGAAGCAATTGCTAATTTACCTGTGACACGCGTGGAGTTGAGACAACATACGGAGAAAGATAAAAGCGTAAATGATTTAGTGCAATGTCTAAAACACGGGCGCGAATGTGAACCCCCTCATCGTTTTGGTATACCGCAAGCCGAATTTACACTCCACGATGGTTGTCTTTTACGGAGTATACGAATATACATTCCCAAGCCACTACGAAAAAGGGTGCTAGATGAACTGCATACAGCTCACTTGGGAATGTCGGCGATGAAAGCGTTGGGACGTACTTACTGCTGGTGGCCAGGGATGGACAAGGATATTGACCAGTTGGTTTCAAATTGTACAGATTGCCAGAGCATTAGAGCTGACCCTGCAAAAATTAACCCGGTGCATGTTTGGATGAGACCAACGAAGCCATTCGAAAGGGTGCATGTTGACTATGCTGGACCATTCCTCGGTAAATATTTATTTATTTTAGTAGATGCATATACAAAATGGCCTGAGGCCCATATAATGCCCAACATGACCGCCTCATGCACCGTACAAAAGTGTGAGGAAATTTTCGCGACGTTCGGTATACCCCAAATACTCGTATCCGATCATGGTACGCAGTTCAATTCAGTAGAGTTCCAGACATTTTTGAGAAGCAATGGCATATTCCACAAACAAGGCGCACCCTATCATCCATCCACTAACGGACAAGACGAGCGGTTTGTGCAAACATTGAAAAAATAAATTACGGGCCTCAAATTGCAGTGGGGCTAATATGCAAAGAGAACTGTCCACAATCCTAATGGCTTACCGTCGGGCCGTGCATCCAGCAACTCAACAATCACCGGCAGTCTTGATGTTAGGGCGACAACTACAATCTCGCCTTGACTTATTAAATCGGAAAGAGCCAAGAGATCAAAACGAACGCATACGTCCACAAAAGGAATTTTTAGTGGGCGAAAGGGTGGCAATAAGAGACTACCTGTCAGCTAACAAATGGCGTTTTGGTCGCGTAGCACAGCGACAAGGTGATTTACATTACCAGGTACAATTAGACGACAATCGCACATGGAAACGACACGCAGATCAAATGCGAAAGGTAGGCGAAGACTTAGTCGGCGTCGAGAGCAGCAACGTACGCAGCGACGGCGCTATGGCAGCACGAAAGTCAATAGAGGCGCACGCATCACCACCGCGGCAGTGTGAGACAACACAGGCAGACTCCGATAGTAAGCAGAACGAGATAACAACTACGGCAGAAAGCAGCAACAATGCTAGTAAAACAGCAGTGCTTGGAGAAGTACTACTACGTCGGTCAACGAGAGCTACTAAGCCACCGGAGCGTCTGCAGTACGAGCATACCTAAAAAAAAAAAAATGAGTTAAAGAATTTATTTACCTAATTACAACTAATATATGTACATATGTATATAGCGTTTCAACCTATTTTTCGAATCAAACTTAGTTGAATGTTTTGTTATCAATGCATTATTTCAGCATAAATTTTGAATTGTTCTTATACTTTTAATATAGCATTGGTAC